GGGGTGCGTTTCCCTACATCTTACTGTGGGATTTAAGGTCAAAGCTTTCCGAGGCTCTCCCTAATAGGTTGCGCTCCCATTGGCATGACATACACAACCACCCACAGCCCATCCCACATATTCCGCCCATGCGCACACAGCCATACAAGTGTGCGTGCGTGTAGCGCCCGTGTGCGCGCGCGTGTATGTGTATATATAGGCCCACGCCTGTGCGCACGTAGCATATATATATGTATATATATATGTATATGTATATGTATATATATATGTATATATATAGTATATGTATATGTATATATATATGTATATATATATGTATATGTATATGTATATATATATGTATATATATATGTATATGTATATGTATATATAGACGCACGGGCGCGCGCACGCACACACATGGACCGGGTGAGTGGGCGTCGTAGACGACCTCTGGTGCAACGGCCTCTGTGCTGATGCCGGCTGAAGGTCCTGATCAACCGGATGGATGCACATCTCCGTCCGTCGGTGGGTGGGGTGGAGTGAATCCTGCAGGCTGATTCGGTTCAGCGTCCCGATGAGCTCAGCTCCAGCTGGAGATGCTGACCGATCCACCGACGGAATCCATGCCGGATTTCCACGCATGCGCATGCGGGGCGTACACATCTGTCTCCCCACCCCAGCGCGCGGGCGAGGCGCCGTGATCCGGACCCGCCCGCCGGGGTCAGCCCTCGAGGGGAGATTGTCGGATGGGGTCGCCCCCGTTCCATCATCTCCTCCCTCCCCCCCACAACATCAAAGGCCATTCGATCTCAGCTCGGTCGACGGGAAGGAGCGCTGTGGCCCAGGCGGCAGTGGGGCCCAGTTTCGATCAGACACATACAAATCGGTTCCCCCGACACAGATTTTCGGTACGGCGAGCGCAGTTTGACAGGATCCATGGAGAAACGGCTCCGGAGGGTAGTTGTAGGCGGGAAGACACGGCGTCTCCAGTCGGGACGTGTCGGTGCCTCATGCCTGCAACGTGAGCCGCGTCGCGGCGGTTGGGTCTGCCGGTATCGGTGGGCACCCGGGAAGCTTCCTCCGCAGTCACGGCTGGTCGGCGAGGGAACGGGCATCCCGGCCCCCTCGAGAACCGCCAAACCGCGCC